TTCACAGTATGGGTTCCTGTCCTGATAATGTTCACTTAAAATGCATTTTCAAAAAAGAAATGAATAAATTACAGGTTCTTTGGCTATGAAAACTAAAAATTTTGGGGCTTTTTCTTATTCTTTGTAATCACCACTAATACCTAATTATTAACTTCTTTGCTTTATGTTAAAAGACACTCAAAATATTCAAGTGCCAGACTTTGCACAACACCTGAACTAATTGTAATAAACAATGGAAACAGATATATAATGCCTCACGAGTTATTAGCCAGCAGTAGTGGAGATTAAGAATCTGAAACACAATACTTTATTGTCCATTTCATTTACATGAAATACACATTTGTCTTCGGCACTGACATACAACTATTGCATTATATACAGTAAAGTACTACAAACATATAAATTCACTATAATCAGTATTTTATTGTTTGTAATGCAGTGTGTTTCATGCCAGTGCCTAAGATGAATGTGTGTTTTATGTCGGCGCAGAAGAACATATTTTCCTACAGCATCTTAAGGACAAAAGCTTGTTTTGGAGAAAAGACAACTAAAAGCTAAGTAAAGAAATGCATTGGGTTTTTTGCCCACTTGATATTCAGTGTTTCTAGCAGCTCTGTCGACTAAGCTCTAATATAAATGTGTTTATATGGACCAAAATGAGATAGCTTAATTATATTTACTAATGTAATTGTAAACTTTCCTCCAGTGCGCGCACACACACACACACACACACACACGCACACACACACACACACACACACACACACACACACACTCTACTTTACGTTCCAAAAAATAATACAGAACAAATCTATATTTTATTTATGTTCAGTTTTTTCTCCCTTTTTCCAGTTCAGGTAAAGAAAACAGCAGTAAACACAGATTTACAACATAATGGCAAAAGCTCACTTTAATCTACAGAAATCCAAAAAAATACTGGAACACAGCATGAGATAAAAGTTCTTGATTTGAATCTCATGCAAAGGATCTGCTCCAAGCCACTGCTGGTGCCCCTCAGAGCAAAGCTTTTGTTTCAGGCATTCTGTATAACAGCCACACACAACTCTGACCTTATTCTCTGTCACTATTCATAAACATCCACTAAACTAATAAAACACTCTTTTCCAATGAGTAAATAACATTAATTTCAGTTATGTATATTCATCATAAGTGGTTCTTGGTTTAGACTATAGGATTATAGGAAACCCTTTGATTGGGATAGAGCAGTGGTTCTAAACCTTTCTCACAGTGCAACCCCCTCTTTAACTATGCATCTCTGTTCTTCTTTGTGGGAACAAATCTTAGAGTTCTGCAATTGTACTTGTCTTAAACATGTTTAATTTAGTAAGGCAAAAACAACATTTGCCTGTAACTACAAACATGATGCCATAAACAACATTATGTTGTCCCAAAAGCCACGGCTGTCAGCACAGCTGTAGTGTACAGTTCCTCCCAGGAGAGTGAGAGGGTGGATTTTGGGGGGTCCGGTGCTGCTCTGTTGCTCATGTGTGTTTCGCTCTTATCTGTGTTCTGTTCAGTGGTGGACAGAGAGTGCAGCGCTGGAAGCAGACGGCGTGGCTTAGCACGCTGCGGCTCACAGCTCAGCACATTTTCCGCCTTCATATCTCACATCAGTCCTCCATTCATCAGCCATAGCTCCAAGGCCTATAAAATGTAAGCACTTTAATTCACTCTAAGTGTTGGCTGGACATCATGCTGGACTGCTCTCTAGAGCTGTACTGAGGCAAAAGCATGGGGTGTGTGTGTGTGTGTGTGTGTATGTGTGTGTCTGTGCATGTGCTCACTTATGTGCTCAGTCCATGCATAGGTGTGTGTGTGTGTGTGTGTGTGTGTGTGTGTATGTCTGTAATGCATTTATCATGTCTACTGTAGGCCACACTGTGCTGTAAGTGCTGTTTATCTTGAGCTCAGCAGCATCTCCTTTATGTGTGGAAATGAAATGCATCAGTTTGCTGCCAGACACCCACACAGCCACACAGCAACAGCAGCCATAACTTTCCACTCTGATCACATGCTGCTATCTCACATTACTCGCAGCCAGCGGGAGATCAGGACATTTATACTGAGCTGAAATTCATCAATAGAACAGACTTCATTGTAAATCCAGGGAATAAACTTGCCATTTTTACACATTTATATATACATTTATTATTTTAAAATATAAATAGCTTTGTGTTCTGAATGTATGTGAATATATTTTAAAGTTTTTCTTCTGTTGAAGACTGAAGTTCATTTTGATTTTACAGTCAAGCTGTGAAATATTGGAAAATCAAAATACTTTCTATGTATTTAGGGTTACAAAGATATCTTTAGACCCTAAACATACAGACAAAAAGGGTTCTTTGTGCAATACCATGGAAGAACCACCTTTGGTTCCCTTAGAAACCTTTCAGTGCCCGATTTAAAGTTTAAAGAACCACCACATGGTGCTAAGGTTCTAATCCATCTTATCTTTCTGAGATGCCATTGCACTCTTAAACAGGATGGTTCTTAAGGGTTCATTAGTAAAGAAAATGGTTCTACATAGGACCATGAACACCCAAAGAACCCTTTTCAAAAGGTTCTCTATAGCATCAAAAAGGGTCCTTCTATTATAACAAGGTTGATATAACAATGGAAGAACCCTTTTTGGTGCTTCATAGAAGGCTTTTTAAAAAGGTTCCATATAGAACCGTCTACTCTCCATCAATCTGAAGAACCATTTCAAGATGCAAAGAACTCTTTAATCATGCAAAGCATTCTTGAAGTGGTCATGGTTCTATATAGAACCATTTTCTTTCTTTTTTAAAAGTGTAGGAGAAGCACTTTTGTTTCCCTGAAAGCCTTAGTGCATTTTTCTGAATGAGATGTGTGAGGATTAAGAACCTATTTTACAGTTTGAAGAACATCTACAAGTTGTAAAGGTTCTACACCAACTGGAGTGTATTTTCCCTAAAAAATAACGGATGCTTTGTGTGATCCCACAGAAGAACCACTTTTGGTTCCCTAAAAAACTTTTAAAAATTAGAATGGTGTGAAGAAGTTTAAAGAACCTCAACATGATGTAAAGGTGCTACACCAACTACAATTTTTTTTTGGTTTGTTAAAAACAAGGGTGCTAAAAGGGATCCTTTGTGTGACACCATAAAAGAACCATATTTGGTTCCTTAAAAAAACTTTCAGTGGAAGGTTCTTTAAAGAACTATTTTTGTAAATGAGATGTATGAGTGTGAAGAACTTTTTTAAAGATTAAGTGACCCTTATTAGTCCCACAACGGGGAAATTTCACCTCCGCATTTAACCCATCCATGCAGTGAAACACCCACATACACACTAGTGAACACACACACTAGGGGGCAGTGAGCACACTTGCCCAGAGCGGTGGGCAGCCCTATCCGCAACACCAGGGGAGCAATTGGGGGTTAGGTGCTTTGCTCAAGGGCAGTCAGTCACATACTGTCGGCTCAGGGAATCAAACTGGTGACCTTCCGATCACAGGACTGTTTTCCTAACCTCCAGCCCACGACTGCCCAAAAGTTAAAATAATGTAAGAAGAAGAACTAAGAAGATCCCTAAAATTGGTGTTAATCCTTTACATCATCTGAAGGTTCTTTAAACCTTTAAAAGATTTACAAATCTCACAGATCTCTTTTTCAAGCATAGTTCTTCAGGGAAATAAAAAAGGTGGTTCTTCTGTGGTATTGCTCAAAGAACCCTTTTGGAACCTTTCCTTTTTTGACACTGTATGTTTAAGCCAAGACCCACCTTTATGTTTCAGAGCATGTGGAGTACTGTTACTGTGCACTGTCAAGTAAATCATCATCTATTTAAACCATTACTGCAACACTCAGATACTCCTAGTTGCAAATGGTTCTGATTGGGTTAACAGTGACTACAGCAGACTGTTAGAACTGGAAGTTGCTCCAAGGCTTCACAGCCATAATTTCCTAGAATAATTTCGGTGACATGTTTTGGATTGTGCCTGGCATTTCCTACTGGATTCAGTTACTTTATGCAATTACGGACGATTTGCTGAAAATCTGGCCGCTCTGCTGTGCGGTCTTTTGAGTCTGGCCTCTGAGGAGACAGCATGTGCTGTGATATAACCTTCTCTTTTATGCAATTTATTAATGTTTCACTACCTGGAATAGAAGTGCTTGCAGATGATTACACAACAAAGAAAAAGATTCAATTAGGCTGAACAGAGCACTGGAGCAGTTCCTTAAATGCATTCAGTGCACTTTAAAGCATGTTCAGCCAGCTGAAATGATACAATGTGCCATAGATTCACTCTCTGAATAACCGCTTGTTTTTCAAGCCTGTGTATTTTCTCCAAATCTGATTTTTGAGCATGCCATCTGAGGTTGTTGTGTAACTTCTAGCATTTGGACCAAAGTTAGCAGCAAAACAGCGCAACAACCGTGTTATTGTCCGCGTGTCCACAACCTGAAAGGCAGGACGGCCCTAAAAATAGAGCAGCTGACAGACGCTGGCACGCGCACGAGGTCGCATTGTATTAGATTACCAAACAACATACGGAAGGGAAGCAGAGGGACTCCTTCTGACAACATTTTGCGCCCTCGCCCATGGACGCTCCGAGTGGAAAGCTGTGGAAAAAAGGTCCCTCTTAGTGGTCCCTCTTGCGCTTGGCTGAAGTCTCCAGTGAAGTTTGGCGTAGGGGACGGAGAGAGTGAGGGAGGGAGGGGGGGCTTGAGAGCGAGCGCATGGATGAATGCAGGAGTGGTCAGCGGGGATGCGTAGGGACAGTCTGGAACAGCAGAAGCACTGCAGAGCACTGCTGAGGAAAAGAGCCACAGGACGTTTGTGAATGGAGGGACCTGAACCAAACGTTTGCGTCACCTAGGAGAGCATGGAGAACTTCGGCGTAGCGCGTTTTACGCGTCGTGCGCGTGCGAAGAAGACGCTTTTCATAATGAGCTTAGGAGTTAGAACACGTGGCAACAGCCTAACACTGCACGTGAAATAACCGAACTACATCCCAAAGCGGTGTGAGGGGGCAAAAAGCACAAGAACTTACTCTGGTATGGAGAAGGTTTGTCAAGATGAACTCTGATATCGATGACCTGTGGAATAACGGCTCGTGGGAGCTGTACTTGCCCTCGCACGCGCCGCCAAACATCTCCAACTGGACGGCAGGAAACGGGTCAGCCAGTGCCCCGTTCAGCCTGGCCAGGGCAGTGCCTCTGGCCATGGTCCTGGGCGCTTTTATCGTGTTTGCAATCGTGGGCAACATCCTAGTCATCCTATCCGTGGTGTGCAACAGGCACTTGCGCATTCCGACCAATTACTTCATCATAAACCTGGCCATGGCTGACCTGCTGCTGGGCACCACCGTGCTGCCCGTGTCCGCCACGCTCGAAGTCCTCAACTACTGGGTGTTCGGCAGGATCCTCTGCGACATCTGGGCTGCGGTGGACGTCCTCTGCTGCACGGCGTCCATCATGAGCCTGTGCGTGATCTCCATAGACCGTTACATCGGTGTGCGCTACCCCCTGCAGTACCCCAGCATCGTGACGGAGAAGCGCGCGCTCCTCGCCATGCTGGGTGTCTGGGTGCTGGCCATCGTCATCTCCATCGGGCCCTTACTCGGATGGAAAGAGCCCCCGTCTGATGACGACACCATCTGCCCGATAACAGAGGAGCCTTTTTACGCGCTGTTCTCCTCTCTGGGCTCCTTCTACATCCCCTTAGCGGTCATCCTGGCCATGTACTGCCGCGTTTACATCGTGGCCAAACGGACCACCAGGAATCTCGAAGCAGGAGTGATGAAGGAGCGCATGGACTCCAGCGAGCTCACCCTCAGGATCCACTGTAAAGGAGCTCAGGCGCAGGAGGAGTGCGGGGGAGCGGGGAAAGGAACCAACAGGAGCTCCCTCACCGTTAAGCTGCTGAAGTTCTCCAGAGAAAAGAAAGCAGCTAAAACTCTGGGGGTTGTGGTGGGCATGTTCATCCTCTGCTGGCTGCCCTTCTTCCTCGCGCTGCCCATTGGTAGGTGCTTCTCCATCCAGCTCCAAAAACCAAAAGGAGTGCCTGTGCTCTTTTACTCTTTTATTCCTCTACTTGTACTGTAACGTTTTCTTTTACTGTTCTACTCCTTCATTGTTCTTCTTTATTCTCCCAGTTCTTCCATTCCTGCACTTTTACTCATTTCCTCTTCTTCTGCTCTTTTACTCCTTCACTCCTTTCCCCCTTCAACTCTTTAACTTCTTTATTCTTCTGTTACCCTGCTGCTCTTCTGTTTTCCAATGGTCTTCTACTTCTTTACCTTCCAGCTCTTTTACTTCTTTAGTCGTCTTCTCTTTTGTTTTACTCTTTTTCTCTTTCAGTCAGCATCTAAACCTGCTAACAGCTTCCCCTTGCGTTTTACAGAAAAATACAAGTTGTAATGTTGACTTTAAAATCATAGCTAATGTATTACAATAAGTGTGCCTTAATATTTTATTTTTAAGCCTAATAGAGAGATACAAAAATGATTTGATGATCTATTTTAGGCTTTCCAGTTTCACTCGAGACTCGTCAAAATGAATAATTCCTCATTATAGGTTCTTGCAAAAGACTACACTCTCAGTACCTGTAGTCAGGGAACATAATTGTGCTATAATCCACTTTTTATTTTATTGTTCTGTTTTAAAACAATAAGATATAACAAGGTACAAATGTGTACTTTTCACCTGGAACATTTGGACCTTAAAACCACTGTTGTACCTTTGAGAGTGCATTTGCATTGTTTGTACCTTAATGAATGAAAAATGTACCTGCATAGTACCTTTATTTCTAACAGTGTAGGGTACTGCTGCTATGAAAAGTGATGTGTACTAGGCAAGACAGTTATAGTATTATGTATGTCCTGACAATCAATTAGTGAACCTCAGATTATTTGTTTAAATGATTTATGTATATAGTTTTAGGTAGTTTTGATAGTCATACAGTCATACAATTAAGGCCCATTTAAATAATCCTCTAATAACTAGAAGTAGCATCTTGATTAATTGAAGAAATAAATTTACAGAGTGAATTGCTTCATGGCCTGTAGAATGCAGTTCAACAGCCAGTAAAAAATTTTCAGGGTGATTCATGTTTGTTTGCTTTGCCCAGAATGGTGAAGCAAACTAGTGGTCTGAAGCACATCGTCATGCATAAAACTGAGCTCCATAGGTGTTTAGATGTTTCTGTTTACCTTACAGTAACACTAACTAACTGACTGATGAATATGAATGATATGAATGATGAATGAACTATGATTTCATCTGAGTGATTCAGATAAAGTACCATGGCTTGTTACATACAGATTTCCCATTTGCATGGCTGTCTGCATCATTTAATCTGTTCAGTACTGGCTGGTTTGTTGTGTTGTGTTGGTCAAGTGGAATCCAGTAGGTCCCTGAAGCTTGTTGAGGTCTCCTAGAGGAATGCAGAGGAAATGCCAATGTCTTCTAAGGGCTCTCTCATTCCCAGGCTTGCTCCATGTCTGAGCTGCTAGGAGAGTGCTGAGGTGTGGGAATAAAGATGAGGTAGCATTCCCACCACATATGACCCCCCCTAAACAGATCAGGAGTGAAGCTTCTATCTATATTCACTTTAATATCCAAATGCACTGCTCTCCTATAGCTAGCCAACTCATAATATGGGTCAGTTGATTTTGACTGTAAAATGATCAGGGACAATTTTAGAAGGAAAACTTTCCATGTGTCTGACCTTTGGGAGGTTAATATTCCCTCTGTCCAGTGCCCTTTGTCTTCATATGCCATGCTGATATGATTTAGTTGAAGACTGAATGTGCATATTTCTTAGGGAGAAATTACATAAGGGGGTGATAAAAGAGTTTCATTGGGGCCTCATCCATCAAGGCCTCTGAACATATGAATTATTGTCCTTACCATAATGTTTGAGCGCGTCCTCCGTTGTGCTCTGCCCTAGCGGTGTTATTTTGCAGGCAGTATGTCAAAGGCCTATGCAGGTTGTAGTTCTGAAGGTTTGAAGGCAGTAGTTTATTGGTTATGCCCCATCACAAGGCCACTCACTGTGACACTGTTCTACTTGATGCTCATGAAAATAAAGCTTAGTGAAAATCATTGGAAAATCAATAGTAATATTCACACTGGGGCACATGAAGATAAATGCAGCCAGCCATGTTCAATAGCAGGAACCTCTAAAGGAATACTAGCATATCTATCTACTGTATGACCTCTGATAACACAAAAGAAAAATGTTTTCTAAGATTTAATGCTTTACAAATGAAAATTGACCATATTTACACATGAAGTGTTGAGAAATTATAGCTTAAAAATGAAAGTCACAGAATACAGTTGCACCCCAAGTGTAGTCGATCAGCCAAAACATGTTTAGGGTCTGAAGTTCTTTCTTTACTTTTGCATAGGAGCTATGAGGCTAACAGCTAACAAGTAAAGAAAGCTTATATCCCAGCAATTGATATCATAAAAACTTCATGCCCACGTCATCACACACTTGCCTCAAACTACATCAGGTTGTTAAGTAATCTCAAATAAAGAGCTGGGTGCAGAGATGGAGGCTTGACTTAGACTATAGTTGTGCTCGATTTGGATTTGCCCTTAAACTTGAATCAAGACTTAAGCCTTGTGAAATTACTTTGTACGCCAGTTTTGCTACGGTCATGCACAGTCATTATTGCAATGCCATTCACTAGTAGCTAACAGCTGTGTCAGGTTTGGTACAACTTTCAATACCAAGCCTTTCATTACAGAAAAACCTTCTGTCAACAACTTAAAAAAACTGGCTAGTATGTAGCCTGGATAATAAGTATGCTAGCTGCAATAGCTAATTTAGCTGAGGTTGCCAGCTTATCTAGCTTAAGGTTTGGTAAATTACAGATCACATTCCTTTAAAACTTACTAAACCCTTTTAGACAAACCAGCATAGCTGGTAGCTGGTCACCAGCTAAACTAGCATATGTTGTGTTTTGGATACTGGTATACAGGTCAACCAGTATGACCAGTTACTAGCTAAACCAGTGCCAGGCAAAAAAAACAGCTTAGACCGGCATGAATTCTATGCTGGTCTAAGCTGTTTTTTCATCAGGGAACTTTAGCTAGATTAGGTATTATGCTAGCTAGCTAGCATACTTGGTATACAAACTACAATTTAACCAACAATTTTGTCAGTTGTTTTGCCTCTTTTCACCCTTGTAGCACTTCAATTCTGTCTTTCAAACTGAAGGTTTTGCATAATATATAATGAAATTGTCTATAATATATAATAAAGGTTTCATTATTTGAAGCCGTGCCTTTTACTTTTGTACAATGTACTGTGTGCAACTGAGACAAAACTAAAATCCTCTGCTATTGACTTGAGACTCGAGTCGCATTCCAGAAACTCGAGACTCGTCTCAAACTTACATTGAGCAACTTGTAAATATACTATTATCTATTAAAATAGACCAAAACGACATGTCACACAGCTAAAAACAGTAGAAACTGCCATCTTGAGCTCCACATTTTTTTCACACTTTTATAGATAACAGTATGTCATACTTTATTCTGTCCAGCAAGGAACTAAAATTCCTCTGGTAGGGAGGGTGGTAATGAAATGAAATGACCTCATTAACAATGTTCTCGGTGAGAAAAGTCTCAATAGAATCTTGAGGATGATTTAGAGAAGGGTAAGGAGGTTTGATTTAACAGGATGATTCACTTCAGTTACTGGGAGAGTTCACGTAAGGCCTTGCACCTGTGCCTTATTGACGTGTTGTAATGAAGCTGCTTTTAATTCAGTCTTGAACTGATGCTCATTGTCGTAGGACAGCAGACATCGCCTCTGAGCTCCCTAATCTGTCTGAGCACTTCAAGTGCCAAGTTGCAGTTTGATATTCTGAGGACAAATAGGTAACACTAATTGAAAAGAAAAAGATGACATAAAGATGATATATGTCACATCTAATGCTTCAGGACGCAGGTTTTGCACAGTATTTTTTTATACTTCACTGGAAACAGTATTCTATGAGTGTCACTGGCATTTTACAGTATTCTGCAGTAATAACTCCAGAACTCAGTGAGACTGGAAAAGGCCATAAAAGGGTACGATATGGGCAGCATGCTGTAGATAGAAGATGTGTATCAAAGTGATGAATTCCTGTGGGATTTAGTGAATGTAAAAGCGGAGATGGGCAACGGGGAAGAGTCTGGATATGCCCGATGGATTTTCATGACCTTTTCTAATACCTCTTTGGTATCCAAGATGATCGAACCTGAGAGATTTTCTCTGTTTCAAAAGACTTCTCGGCTTCTGGAACGTCCACTGCTTTCCCTTGTGGATGGCTTTTAATAGAGTGTAACAAATTGGAAAAGCAACATTATTTTTCCACAGGAGATTTTAAAAATGTCTTTTTAGGCAAAGGGATAGAATAAGATAATATGTAATATCAAAAGAGCTGAAAAAGCTAAACAAGAAAAGACCTGTTTAAATGAAGTAGACTAGTGTTTCTAATCCACCAGATGTTTCCTCATTCTTGTGTTGGGGGATATAGGATAGAGATAAAATGTGGAACCATCAGGTGGGCTAGGCTGATAAACTGAAGTAGAGTACACCCGCTAGTTTAGTGGGAGATACAGTGAATGGTTTGTTGTTAATTAGATGTTTTTAGTGTTGCTGTTATACAGATGTTTTCAATGCATCTGTATAACAGCAAGCCTGTTTACATGAAGTAGACTACTTCACCAGCCAGTTTACTGAGGACAAATCCAGAATGCAATCTGCAAAAAAACATCTTCAAAACAACAAACCATTTGTGTGCGAAGTCCCTTTCTAAAGCATGTTATACATACAGTGAGGGAAAACAAGTATTCAGACACTTTTGTTTTTGTTATTCAGTACTTCCAGTGCATATCACCACTTCAAATGTACACATATTGCTGCTGTCGGAACAAAACATCGTATCTCCATAATAGTAACTTTACAGGAGAAGCTAAAAACAAACTTTACTGTCAATGTAGATCAATGGAACCAAACTTTTTGTCCAAGTAATTCTGGGCCATTTCTTTTGGTCCAATAATAATAACATTTATACACAATGTAAAGGGCAACAGGTATTTTTAAATTATGTCAAAAACTGAAAAACCTTTTTTCCAACAACAATGATATATCTTTTGACCTTGTATTTATAAATGTGAATAATAGAATGCATTCATAAGCATAAACCAAGATATGTTTAAAAAATGACAAGGAAAAACTTTTTTTAGACACCAAAAACAAATAATATTAGCACTCTGTTGCAAATCTGTTTTCTGACACATACACTCCAAGAAAAAATGGTACAATACTTCACTGGAGTGGTACAAGAGTACGTCTTCAGTACCTTCAGTTAGGAAACGTAATTGTACCATATTCAATTGAAATGACATATTTTTATGTTGTATTAACTCCACACACCCCATCTCATCTCCAACCTTTTTATTGTATTGTTCTGTTTTAAAACATTAAGGTTATGAAAAGGTACAAATATGTACCGTTTTTCTTAGGACAAACTTATGTAAAGGACACAGTTGGACATTAAAATCATTGTCGTACCTTTGAGTGTACGTTTGTGTTGTTTGCACCTTAATGAAAGAAAAATACATCTGCACAGTACTTTTATTTCTGACAGTGTACAGTAAGAAGTAATTAGGTTTTTTGCAGAACTGTGGTATGATTTTGGCCCGTTCCTCTTGCCGAACCATCTTCAATTCCTCAAGGTTACAAGGATCCCTTTGCTAGACTCGTAATTTCAAAATCCATGGAATTCAAGTCAGGAGACTGTCTAGGCCACACCCTTTTTTAGAACCCAGTCTTGAGTTATTTTAGTTGGATGTTTGGGGTCATTGTCTTGTTGAAGCGCCAGTCTTCTACCCAGACTCGATGAGATTCAATTCTCTTACATTGCTCTATTCACGTTTCCTTCGATGACTTGTAATACTAATCAAAGCATGTAGCGAAATCTTTGCTCTGTAGCTTTTAAGTGTTGTTTAACATGTTGTCCCTGAGCTCTTTAGGAAGCTCCTTTTTCTCCATGATTGCTACATGTTGCATTAAATATATCCCAAACAATAACATCATCTTTGACAAAGACTCCGGGTACAATTTGCATTAGAGTGTTTTAATAATATTAATATCTAGAAATTAATTTATTTTTATATAACCTTTAATATCTATGTAACCTATGTAACTGAACACTTTTTTCTACATCAATTTTGTTTGTTAAACATATTTTATTTCAAACATGAATACAAATACCTATTGTCGCTGTCCAAAAAAATAACACTGTGTTTACACTGTGAGAAAATTTCATGATGAATGGGCCAACATAAATTGCTTGAAATAAAATATCACATAAAAGTACATATATATATATATATATATATATATATATATATATATATATATAATTATATATATATATGCACACACACACACGCTACACACACATTTACTATATTGGCACTCCAACTTCTAAAACCAGAAACATTTCTTTTTTTCTTTCTTAATTTTTTTATGCACTGTTGCTGAAAAGAAATGTTGAAAAAACCAAGTTTAAACATAATCAATCCAGCTGAAAACAAGACCTTTCTTAAGAAGGCCATCATTTCACTGGCTGTATCTTGCGGTAACTTTAATAACCCTCAGTGTATTAATTTTTTGTTTTATCTCAACCTGTACTGAACAATGACATATTGGGAGAATCTTCAAACATTTGTTTTAAAAAAGGAAAACCGGGGATCTGCAGGATTGACCAGCACAGTAAAGGACCTCAAATGGTTTAGCAAAAAGAGAAAGCATTCATTAGTTGAAGTCTGCCACCTATTGGTGGAGATGAGAATTGATCAAGATGTAGAAAATGAGGGTATTTACTTGTATTTTTCAGGTTCTTTCAACGCCAACCTGCGCCCTCCGGAGACGTTCTTCAAGGTGATTTTCTGGCTAGGCTATTTCAACAGCTGCCTGAACCCGATCATCTACCCCTGTTATAGCCGTGAGTTCAAGCAGGCCTTCATCCGGATCCTGCGGTGCCAGTGCCATCAGCGCAGACGACAGGGCTGGAGGTCATACAACTACCGATCACACATGGGCCCCACCAACCAGTCCTATATGGACAACAGCTCTGTTTGCATGAATGGCAGTCAGCAGACACTGGCCTCTGTGCAGCCCAGTCCACGCTTCTTCAGCAGAGGCAGCGAATCTAACAGTGCGAAGGGCCATTTACCAGGCTGGGGTCCTTGTGCCTCTTCCTCAAGCTCACTGTCTCAGAGACCATTCACACCTCAGTTAGGCGCCAGCCCTGCGACTGTGCGCCAGACTTCGAACAAATCCAACCAGATGACTCTGCTTTTCCCTGGTGGGTCGCTGGCCAAAGAGGGGCTGAATGCCAGTGCGCAGAATGGTAAGGAAGAGTTGGAGCAAGGGCCAAATACCAGGCCTACACCTGAAACTACCATGTAGTTGGGTGCAGGCTGTCACAGCGGCGTTCATGCCAATGCTTGCTGCTTGTTCATGTTTATCCTTTTATTTTGTACCGATTTGACAATCTTGTGGTATCGTAGATATTCTTATAGTGCATGCTTGCATTGTGAATGACGTTTGGAGGCTCGATGTAGCTACTGATATCAAACTGACAAAACTAAAGTGATCGTTGAGCCAAATATTGGAATTTACACAAGTTTCCCTCTTACCCCAAATGTAGTCGATCAGCCAAGATGTTTGGTGTCTGAAGTTGGCTTCTTTACTTTTGCTCTGAAGCTACAAGGCTAATGTAGCTTAACAAGCAGTGGAAGCTCATATTAAACCAGTTAGCATCAAACTGAATGGCTAATTTATCACACATTTACCTCAAAACATACCTTGAATAGACTTGCTTATGAAGTTTCTGGCACAGTATCATATGCCGTTTCCTTAAACATTGGACAAGACTATGTTACAGAGCTAACAACAGTACTAGCTTCTATCTTAACCATGATTGCCAGATTTATGTATTGTAGTGACCTGCTACTGGCTCATGTTGGCCTCTAGACACTTGTGAGGCATGGCCTTTAGCATGAGAGACACAGGAGGAGAACTGGGAAAAGGGAGACTCCGGAAAAGGAACTGAAATGTTGTTTATATCGTTTATCAGTTAATGGTGTGTGCTATTTGTTTATTCAGTTATTCTGTGTCGAGGAGTGGATTTAGTTAGTGTGGGTTGGTGTTCACCGTGAGAGCTGTAAGGCTAGTGTATGTAAGTAAGTGTATGGCTAGTGGTGACCTCCCCCCGCGAAGTCAGGGCTGTCTATGTGCTTTTCTGCCTTGCTGTTTAATAAAGAGCACTTATTGCGGTGGAATAATGGCATCCCCTGTGTATTAATCTGTGCTGCAATATTTCCAGCCGCAAAATATTTGAATACAACCCTCAAAAAGTATTAGAAAAAAGTTAAAGTTCAGAATTTTACCCATACTACTGACTAATACAGCATTAAACTACCATGACATCAGTAATAAACTGCAGAGCAGGTTAATCATGAAACTTCCCTGCAGATATGTGTTTTTGCTGCATGAAACTGTTGAGTTTTTTGTTGTTTATTGTCACTGACATGGAAGGTCAAGTCTTTTTTTGTCATTTTTAGGCTCCAATCAGAAAAGCAAATAATGATAATATTCTAAGCTGATGATATTCTGACCTTTTTTAAAATTCAGCTGCATTATTAAGCAATGCAGTTTATTCATTTTATAGCCTATACTCTTTATAAAACTGCCAAAATCATGACAAATGTTATCCACCCACCAAAGCACTTTTTCCCTGCCCAATCCAACCAAAAACCAGCCAACGTACCAGGAAACTGCCCAATCTGGCAACATTGATCTTGAGGCTTCAATTTGTATGTACTTTTTTCATTTTTACAGCACACGATATGTCATACAGTGCCACTTAGCAACCTCTTGCACTTGAGCCAAGTGTGTTATGATTAACACATGCAGGCTAAATTGGTGCTTCCTTTACTCATTAGCTACACCAAACATGCCTTGGCTGATTGTCCAAGCAAGGGGGAAATGAAATTGTATCAATTTGATTATTGGCTGACCTTCGCTTGTGCTTTTTCTTTATCTTGGACTCTGCTACATACATTATGTCTGTTCTGTTTGTGCTGTGAGACTGAACATTATTATGCATAGCACAGAGCCAAAAGGTTACAATGAAGACTGTAATAAGACAATGTGCATGAACAAAGGTGCACCTCTGACCTTGCATCCACACCACTCATTACTCTCATTACTTAGCATAGGTGCTGAGCAGTTAGAAAGTTTTTCTTCTTGATTTATTCTGTATTTATTTATTCTCCTGTGCTGTTTTATCTAGACATGCTGTGCATTTGTGTGACAGTTTTTATACATATATTTGTTTTTTTGGGGAAAGACATAATCTAAACGTCTAATCCATAACACATTTGTGCCTATAGTCAGTAGAAGATCTTTCTTTCAGCGCTTCATGCTCAACTGGCATCACTAAAGCACATTATGATACATGGTCCAACGAAAAGGAGACGTTCTGTAAAGGCAAACCATTTTATATTTATTCAGCCCTATTTATTATAAGTTATGTTCTTCATTGTTACTGTGGCAGTTGATTGTATAGAAAACAAATGACCAGGTGTTTTTTTAAAGAAAAAAAAAGTGACCATTAGAGATCCAAGCTATCCTGTATAAAATGAGTATATGTAGTGTTTTATCATAACTTTTTGCTCTTTCCAATCGTTTATGCATAAACTTGCTCCCTTCATTTAGTGTCTGGAGTAATGGGTGAAAAGGTAATAAATTTGATTGATTAAGGTTCCTGTTGGGATTTTCTTTGTTTATTCAATCATATCCGCTGTGTGTGAGCCTCTTTGGTATGCCCGAGCCAAAATAAAGAATATATTTATATATATTTATATATATATAAAACTCATAACAAAGACAACTCATGACAATTAAAATGAGGGATTCATTCAAATTTAAGCAAATTTGTGACATTAACAACATTAAAGCCTTTATTCAAAAAGGTCCATTTTTTTTAGTCTTATCACTTCTACTGATGTTCGGATGACTCTCAGGTAGATTTGATCTACTGATCAGAGGTTTTTACACAAACTTGTGGAGGCTTGTGGAGTCACAGCTTGATACACACAGTTATTAAAGCAAAAGATATTAAAGAAGAGGAAGAACTTAGAAAATACTATGAAATTCTGACATTTATGTTTTTCCTTTGCTGTGCTGCTGATAATAAAATTTGTAATCACAGACATTCTATTAAATTAGAAACAAATGCGAAGTAAAAGCATTTTCAACAGTGCTCTCAGACTTTTGGGCTCCACTGTATATGCTTATTTAGCCTACAGCAGTTTAGCCTGTGCATTCATATTAACATTATAAGGAGAGTTTCAGCTGAGACTTCTTATGAATGAGGCACAGTATAGGGCAGCCAATCAGAATAAAGCTCATTTATATATATCAGGCTAAAAGGTACAGTAACAAAGCCAGCCTATTTAATCCTAAGGGATAAAGAAAGGTTAAAAACAAATATAATGAATAAGGCAGAATACCATTTTAATATCAATTTTAGGTGTTTCATATAAGAATCATAGTTTTTTATACACAATTCCCTATTTTAGGACAATCACTTAAACACATTAGCATAACCCTAAATGAAATTGTTGTGTTTAGTAAAAATCTGGTCATAATTTCTTTGTTGTCCTTGACTGTCTGAAGCATATGACCCATAGACATCACCAAAGTCTCCATATTATCCCTGACAAGTACGAGCTCTGTTGGGCCTGTAATGCAGCTATTTTCAGTTCCTGCTTATTTCAAGGATTTTCTTCCCTTCAATCTTCTCTTCACTGGGTGAAATACATGCTCAACTGGATTTGTGATAGTCTTACTATTTGGCTCTGAAACTGTATAATTTTTTTAGCAATATTTGATAGTGTACAGGTCATTGTTCAACTGCAAGATGAATAAATCAACTTACAGATTCTGTACAGAATTCATCCTGCTGCTGCAGCTCATAAGTAAAGATGGCAGTCTTTCATGCTGGTTCCACAATGTTTCAACAGATGCTGTGGGTCATGACAAAAATCTATTGAACAATTTTTAAATATTGTGTGGTTTATAAATTGACATGCTCTTCCAGAAAAAATACGAGAGAAAAGAGAAAACTGTCAATACATTGAACTTGCTTTTGGCTTCAGCCTTAGGCTAAAAATCTAACAATGAGGATAGGAACATTAAGCTTTTCATATCATATACATCATACAGAATGTGAAGCGTTATTAAGAAATAACCAACCATTAAGAAATTACCAGCCTTGCCAACATGAAACAGCTTGTGTAGACAGATCAGTGGCTTCTCAGGAGACAAATGGATATACTGATATTTTAAGGAGCTTTTCAAACAATTATAATTGTTGGGACATTTTGTAAAATTCAATAAAAACAAAAGTCTGTCTGTTAATTCTCTTGAACCTTTATTTAACTGACAAAAATACAAAAAAAGACTTTACAAAGCAAATTTTGAATTTGATGCCTGAAACATACTTAAAAAATAGGGACAGGTGCAAAATAAGAGTTTAAAGAATATTTAAGTTACACCATTTTGAAATATTCCACAATAAGCAGGTGAATTGGTAACAGGTAAAGGTATCATGACTGAGTAAAAACGGAGCATTCACCAAAGGCTCCGTCTTTGTAAGCAAAAATGGGTCATGGCTCATTACTTTCTGCTAAACTTTGTGAGAGAATTGTCAAACAGTTCAAAACATTTCTCAGCGCAAGGTTGCAAAGAATTTAGGTCTTTCACCATCTACCTTACATAATTTTGTGAAAAGATTCAAGGTATTCCAGAGAAATCTCAGTGTGTGTAGGACAAGGCCACAAACCACTGTTGAATGTGTGTGACCTTCAAGCCTTCAGACAGCATTGCATGAGAAACCTTCACGTTACTGTGTTAAATATATCCATATGGGCTCAGGAATTCTTCAGAAAACTGCTGTTACTTAGCACAGTACGTTGCTGCATCAAGAAATACAACTTGAAATAATTATTCAAGACGAAAGCCATATATTCATTTTATGCAGAAAGGCTGCCAGTTCTCTGGGTCCAAGCTCTTATCAGATGGTCCAAAAGGTAGTGTAAATGTATGCTGTGGTCAGATGAGTCCACGATTCAGCTTGTTTTGGGGAAAAATGGACATCAAGTTCTCCATGCCAAAAACAAAAGGGACCATTCTGACTGTTAGCAGCAAAAGATGCAAAAGCTGACTTGCCTTCGCGTTATGGTATTGACGCAGAGGCATGTGTTGGGTCTTTAGAGAGACATATGCTGCCATCAAGACGACACTTCTTCTTGGAAGGTCCATGGTTGTTTCAGCAAGACAATACCAGGCCTCATTCTGCACATGCTACAACAGCGTGGCTTCAAAGACACAGTGTAAGTGTGTTTGACTGGCCTGCCTGCAGTCCAGATTTGTCTCCCATTGAAAATGTATGGTGCATCATGAAGAGAGAGATGTCTACCACACCAATATAGTCAGTTTGTTTACTATTCAAAATGACCAGTGAATCCAAAGGTGTCCTCTGAGTTTTATATTTAATGTTAACAATGGTAAAATAACAGTGAATCTGGAAAAAAAAAATAGACTTTCTTTGGGCACTGTTTTGCCCTACATGTACCTCTCTGCCATGAATGAATTCCAAAAACATTACCTCATAACCATATTAAATGTTTTAGGTATCAGACAACTTATTTATGATGATTTCTTGCAATTACTTTCTTTTTATTTAAAAGAACCCATGATTACTTATTTACTACTTAATTACAAATTAAAGGTATTTGGACCGTTGATGTTGAGTCTAGTTTCTTATCGGCCAGTGAGTTTAAGAGTATCCATTTCCAAAAATGGTGCAGGTGCAAGACAGCAAGTCTGAACCACAAGCTTTGCTTTTATTTTTGGGATCTGTTAATAGTGTCTGAAAATGCAAAGACCACACACATACTCTAAGAAGTAAATAATCAGAACATCGTGTGATGACTTTGGCCTCCTTCTTATCGCTGCATCATTCAATCCTGCAAAGAGAATTCAGCTGTCAGCTTTGCTAAGAGATGCACTTCAAACATTTTCATAACATTTTCAACATGTTGGACTATCTCCTATTTTTCAATGTCTTTTCTTGGATTATTTTCTCTGTTAGATATTATTAGTAACATTGCAAATATTTAAATACAGCCAATCAGAATGTGTCACCTAAAAAGCACACTAACCGTATAAATGTGTGAGGGAGCAACATATCTCCACACATTCTCCACAGCCATGAGGAAAATGTAGCAAGGAATGCCAGACAGTGTAAAGAACATTATTTTTTAGCCTTATTTATTAATTCCTTAGCTTTATGCTGTATTTTTTCCATTTGAAAGAGCAGTGATTAATTATTGTGCACCAAGGTCACTGTTCTGGCTTTATTAAGCTTATATACATTATAGAGCCACAAAATAGACCCTTTCAACCATGTCTGAAACTAGCTTCTGTAGTTCATAATAATAACAATAATTATAATAATAATAATAATGATAATAATCACCATCTCTATTTATAACACTTTTAATCTTACATACAAAGAAGTTCTGCAACATTCTGCATGTTTATAACCTCCGTAAGTCCTGTCTACATACGGTCTAGGATAGATGCAGTGATCTTCCAGATGGCAAAGAAACGAGCTAGGCAGATACATGAAGCAGAACAAAGTGCAAGTCAGCACAACAAATCATGCCCCTCTTCCGTATATACCAGTCTCTTCTGAGAGTTCAAAAGAAGGAGAGGAAAGCTTCAGGACTCTACAGCTCATCACAGGAGTGCTGTTTTCAACACCTGTATGGCTCACTAGATACTACAGCATCTGCTTCAGGGCTCAGGAGTGCGTCCTATTGCTGTGGCCAACACAATGCCGTTCTGCTCTGATACCTCCTCCTTCTTGCTTTTTTAATACCTCTCTTTCTTGCTTTCTCTTTTCATTTTGTCTAAATTTCTATCAGTGTCACAGATTCTGATAGCATTTCTAGACAAAATGTGCTTGAATTGTTCCTTTATAAAGTCTAGTTTTTTTTCTGTGTTGCATTTTGTGAAATTTTGTTTTGTTATGTTTAGTAAAGTGATCTTGGGTCTTGAGATACATGCTACAATAATAATAATAATAATAATAATAATAATCAGTGTTGGGCAAAACACATATACAATGCTTCATGGAATTTTCTTCATGTAATTATTTTGTTAATAGGTTTTATGAAAAAATCCTTAACATAAAAAAAGTTTAACTTTTTCTTCTCTTTCACCGCCTGTTTCAGTCCACGGCTGCTCCCACAAACCCCATGCAGGAGTCCAGTATAACACTGATGCTAAACATATCACTTACAAACATGCCCACTACTGAGAAGATTATTAGTTCGATCTTTCCTTTCAAAGAGCTCAGTAACACAGAGATGTTTTATATTTATTGGGTAAGTATTCTAGTGTTCGTCTGAAAATGTACAGAATTCTAATTACCACCTTTACGAAATGTTACTTGGACCGAACACAGATACTTAATTTTTCTGCTCTGAATATATATTTCCAATACTTGCATTCCATTACATCAAAACCTTGATAATAATAATAATAATAATAATAATAATAATAATAGTAATAATAATAATAAGAAGAAGAAGAAGAAGAAGAAGAAGAAGAATACATTGCGAATTTCAGACATCAAGGTGAATTGGACTTTAGAACGTTAAAAGTAGAGAAACCGAGCGTTCCGTATTTTATGATACATTACAAACATTATATTTTAATGTCAGGGAACGCTTTCATTTAAAGCTATCCGCGAAATTTTGAAATGACATTGGACTTCATGTCCCATAAGCCTCCTGCTGCCCACGTGACCTCAGGGCTCGATAGAACGCAGGAAGAAGCTTTATACGGCGTTTCTAGAAGGTGGGAAACAAGCAGACTGGTAGGCAAATCACAACACTTTTCGGAAAGAAGGCTTGGGTTTAATATATACTAACCTTATATAGTTATTACTGCAGACTTGGCTTGGGCAGAAATGTTAAGCACTGTCTTTCGAAGAAAAGCAGGTTTCATGTCAATATAAACAAGCAGCCTGGCAGCACTAGCTAGCTGACTTAGCTAGCTAGTTAGCTAACTAGCTACATGACTGGAACATTCAGCTGTAATGTTTTAAAGCTTTACCTAAACCTAAATTATCAGCGAAGTTAGACGTTTGCATTCGATATTCAAGAAGGACCGTATCTTAATCTTCAATCATGTGACAACTTAGCCACGGTGTGAGCGGTGTTGTAGCCTATAGGTGTAAAGTGAAGTGCTTGATTGTTGCATTTGCTAACAGTGAAACAATAACATGATAAAAATTAATATAACTGACCTGACATCCCTGTCAGGATATTGGAGGCCACACAGCTCGATCTGTGTGCTTTTCTGAATATGAAATAAGCCAGCAAAACACGCTACGTCAAGTCTGTTTGCCTAGCGTAATACGTCAGCTCCGTACGCTGGTGAAAGAGTGGGATGGTGTTCTTATGGGTTCTTTTATTGTGGGTTCTTATACTCTAGAAAAGGAAGCCGACTGATGTAGGTATTGTTTTATAATCTATAAAGTAGGTATTGTTTAATAATGCGAATATTTGGAGATGATGAGTTGTCAGGTGCGTAGAGTAGCCTTAACCCATATTCAAGTAGAAAGCAAAAAACAATGTGTAGAAGTACAAACTGCATGTTTTTTAATAAAGAGAGTGTAATTAGTGCTGTTTAATTGGACTTAATGCAGTGCACTGTGTGAAATATTGAGTTAAATCTTTTTCATCTGTTCCAATTGATCTAAAAATAAATATTATGACATATTGTGCATCATGAAATTTTCTTGATTTCAGTATTGTGATGTTATATTTTGGTCATATTGCTCACCCCCACCACCTCTGCAGGTGAGCTGGATATGTAAGCTGACTGAACTGTCTTCTTTAAATGTTGTCTAGGGAGAAGTGCCAGTGGGACTACTGATGGAGGGGGAGTCTGAGGCACTCCTGAGGGCCATGACTGACTCTTTGAAGGTGTCTGACTCAGGAAGTCGTCCAGACGGCCAGAACACTACAGAGCAGGAGGACCGTTTCTATGACTGTGAGGAAGCATTTCATGCAGAGAGCAATTCGCTTGCAGGACAGACAACCATAAACCACACAGAAACAACTCAAGATGTGATGCCTGATCAGGGGGCAGATGAGGGACAGCATCTAAACTTACAGACAGATGCTCCTAGAGGTCCTGTTGTCACTGACACCTCAGACACACTGAGACCTCAGAAACAGGTTTCTGAACTGGAGAGAGATGCTGTGCTGGAAGATGGAGTGCATGATGACCAAGAGAAATGGGAGAAGATCGTAGAGGAGGAGGATAAGAGGGCAGACTCTGATTCAGAATTCAAAGAGGAGACTGTAGAGAAACGTGAATTTGATGAGGACTACCTGCGAGAAGTGGAAAAAGACCTGACAGAGGAAGAGAAAGAGGTGAACATAATTTCTTTTGTATTCGTTGGTTACATAATGAGCAGATGTAAATGTCAACTGTGAAAGTCATTTTCTGACTTGTGCTGGTTGGGGGTGGAGAAATCCAGTCATGTTACTGACAACAAGAGCACAATTGCACGTTTTTATTGCGAGATACAAAATGCATTAGTCTGCTATTTAAAAAAAAAAAAAGAGCTACAGCTCATAAGTCACTCTCATATACATTTTCTTAAATTATTCCCTTATTTCCTGTTATTGTTACATGTTTGGTCTTCTCTTTATAGAGCAGAAGAGCAGACAGTATGACACTGAAGGAGAAGGGCAATGCTCAGTTCAAGAGTGGAGGTACTAGAGTTCTGCTTCTCTTCTGACTTTTTTCTCTCTTACGTTTCCCACAACATGCAGCAATAACATTTGTGTTGCAAAAATGTTTAGCAATATTCTTGTTTTCTACATACAAGAGCATTATGGCAGTACAACATCTTTGTGCATTGCTTTCTTATGATCATATTCATTGTACATTTGACATTTTGATATTTATCTGACGTTTGTATTAATAGATCATGTAGAGGCTGAGGAATCTTACACTGCTGCACTGAAGATCTGTCCCGTTTGTTACAGCAAGGAGAGGTCCATTCTCTTCTCCAATCGAGCAGCAGCACGTCTACACCTGGTAAAACTTTACAGATCCTACTATCTTATAAATTGCACTTTCGTTTGCACAGTCACATGCAAAACTTTGAACACCTCTGGTGAAATGGCATATTTTGTTTAAGTGAAAAAAAAGTTAACACATCCTCATCCTATTTTTAACATATCGGAAAAAATAAAACCTATTATATAAAATAGCCATAGTTTTCACACAGGCTATGTATTTTTTTTTCCAGTATGTTAAATTCAACAATTAAACAGTAATTGTGAGTTAAAATGTGCAGAAGTGTATGCACCGTAGAGGATATTTACTTATTTTCACTTAGAAAATCAACAAAACATGTAATTTGACCAGTGACACCCACATTTTGCATACAACTGTTCTTGACAAAAACTATGAAATCTACATACTTTTTATTACTTTTTTATTGGGGTGTAATTTTTTTTTTACCTTGCACTGTTTTGATTCAGTTACTTAAGGAAATGATTCAGTACATTATTAAATTTTTTATTTATAATTAAAAATGGGGCTGTCCAAAGATTAAAATAATGAATTTTGATTAACCACATTGTTTTGTGAAGGTAATTGCAGTTCATCACATTTGTCTTATTTGCTCAAATTTGATCCCAAGAAATATTGTTCCATTTAAAAGGAATGTGCTTTGTTATAGCTATATGAGTGAATAAAATATGCTTTGTGGCAATTCAATTCAAAGGAGTATGTATATATCAGATTTATCATGTATAAACTCAGTTGTTTCAGCTTCACCACGATTGTAGTTTTGTTAGTTTGCTGCTCGTTGGTTTATCTGAGCTTTTTCCAGCATATTCTGCAGAAGATGCTGAAGGTATTGTTTAAAAGCTGTTTTTGAACGTGTTTGCTTAAAAAATACACAGCCCTAAAATTTACAGAGTAAATTCTCTCTGGATTAGAGCCATGGATCTGCTTTTATGTTCTTTTATTGTGTTCTGTGTGTCTCTCTCCTTTATCTCAGCAGGTAAGTCTGAAGAACGACTATTCACAGAAACTCATTACTTGCCTGGTGTCAGGAGATGCTGTAGTTACGCTCAAAGGAAAAATGAATGTGCTACTTGTAAAGATTATATGCTCTTTACATAACAGCCTCACTAGTCTCAGGAAGAAGAGTTACAGTAGGGAGCTAGTTCTCCATATTCTAAATTCATTCACAAATGATTCTCAGTGAGATATATAACAAATACACAGCCCTAAAATTTACAGAGTAGTTGAACAGAGACAATAAAATAATACCAAGTAATAATAATACCATTTTTTTGGATGTTTATGTTTGAAAATGTTTGTTTTTTTTTAAAATCAGAAATTAGTTCTAACTTTATTGAATAGTATTATAGTTAATTGTAATAGTTGATTCTAATATTGCAAGATTGTTGCAGTTGATTTGCTACCTACACAGTGCACCCATGCAGCTTTACAATGCTGCTTACCCTTCGGTGTCTTTGTTTCAGTTTGTGAACACATTTTGATTGTACAGAGGTTTTGTTTACTTTCTATACAAATGTTTATGGCCAACAGGATGGAATCTTGGTAATGTTTAGAAACAGGAACAGATGGAACTCATTTAGGTAATTCGAACAGTAAAACCTTATCAGCTACACTCTTATAAACATTGTTTCATCAGGTGTTTCCCTAATTCCATTAGGGAATGGTTATATGTAATGGTTTTATATATATATATAGGTTTCTGCTATTGTTACAAGTCCATTTTTCCCCCCAACATAAGACCGCTGTATTTTGAGATTAAGGCGAAAATATCAAGTTGGGGAGTGGAAGTGCCGTTCTTTACTGTTTTAGCTAAGACAAGGAAAGTGTGCTTACTTATGATTTTATGTCTCATTAAATGGCTCTGAGGTGTTAAACATGCGGTTTGAAAGTACAGCTAGAACAGGAATGTTATAAGCATTATAAACCCCTCAAGAAAGCACAGTGCTTCGAAAGACATATGAACGTGGCTTCGTAATCAGTGCTTGAAAAAGCCCAGTTGTTACTGTTGTAATCCATGCCCATTAACTGTTGCTATGTTATACAGTTGCTTCACTGTTCTAAGCCTGTACTGACAGTGTAAATAAAGTTACAAAGTTGAAATGGAACAGCTTTTTTACCATAAGTAATTTGTGTAGGCTTTAAATAGAATCCTCTGACTAAAGCGTTTCTCTCACGCATCCCATCTATAAAGATTGTTTACATTTTTATTTATACATTTTTACCATCTTTGAATTTCATTACCATTTACCTTATTATCTGTTTATGCTTCTCCAGATGTTCTGTCTATAAGTCACTCAAAGCATCATGGGGTGCAGTAAAAAGGTGGATATAGAAGTGTATTGTTGTGAATATTTCACTCTTGTATTTCCTTTATTAGGATAAGAAAGAAGAAGCCATCAGTGACTGCTGTAGAGGTGAGATTGTGTGTGTTGGAGATGTAATATGAAGTCAGCACTACCCACAATGCAGTGCAAGTACAACAAGCATGTTTATTTAGAAATTGTAAATCAACCTCCATAAAGGGGACAAGTCACCTTTGGCTGCTTTTTAGTGACAGAAGGTGCCGCTTTAAAGTAAATAAAAAAGGTGGGAAATAAACATACCAGTGATGTTTTTTGCCTTGTCTCAAATTCCCAAGCTCACTTGCTCAATCCTTCAAACTCGTATGCAACAGAAATGGTGTATACACAACCCTCCACTGATGCACTTCAATTGAAAAAAAAAAAACAGAAAAGGCAGGGCTAGCAGCTGGGAATACAGAGCTAGCCACAGCAGTAGGTTAAGGTCAATATGGCAGAGTCTATCGACCCATTTACATTTTCAGATTTGATTATTAAGCCATCAGAAAACGATATAGTATTTAACCAAAATTCATGTTGGATGAAGAGCAGCTGCACTCAGAGAGGAACATGGACTAGAAACTATGAGCTCAGCTTATGAATGATAAGCTAATTTCCCTCAGAATATTTCAGCTCTGCTGAGCTGAGACAGTTTGTAATATTGTCAAGCAAACTCTCAGTTATTACAGACAGCCTACCTCAGCTCTGGTTTTCTGTCTTTGCTTAGTCAAACTCTAAAGCCTTTCCTCTTCTGAACAAATGTGAATGTTTCTCAGCACAAAAGCAGTTTTTACAGTCTTTTAATAGTGTATGATAAAAACATTTTTTCATGCACTCTGTGCACCAGCTGCACCATCATTCAGCTACAAATTGACTGACTCAAATTGAATGCCACAGAAATCGTAGATCTTGATGAAGTTGCAAAGCTAAATGACCGGTGGTAGATGAGGGGGTGTGGTCATGCAGTGCAGTGCCGATAGAGCCTCGCACCCACCAATCCGAATTAACTCTGGGTAGGAATCAAGCTTTATTGGTTCTGAAATAAAAAAAAGCTTAATATCTTTAGAAGTATATCTCACAATGTCGTGATTTTTGTTAATGTCAGTGATGTCAGTGTTTATTTAGAAGGCAGGGAAATTGATAAGAGCTATTTGACAGCATGATTAGTCCCCTTTAATCACTGAAACCTCTATTCAAATTTGCAGCAGTTCAGTGTAATAGATAATAATTGATGTAATGAAGCATACACTCAAAATGCACTCTTTTCTCCAGCCATAGAGCTAAACCCAAACTATGTGCGTGCTATTCTACGGAGAGCAGAGCTGTATGAGAAGACAGACAAGCTTGATGAAGCTCTGGAAGACTACAAGACCATTCTGGAGAAAGACCCCAGCATCCCAGCAGCAAGGGAAGCGTGCATGGTGAGCAATGTTGATCATAATAACTTCATTTTGTTTTATCTTACTGAGATAACAGACTGCACAATTATTTGTGCATTAATCAAAATCATATTTTTACCCCAACCAGTTAATTTAGCATGTAAGCCTGTAATTAATGTTTACATTTGACATTTTCATTTGATACAAACAGCAATACTCAAATCACAATTTTTACTGTGTGTAATTTAAGCACTCTGACCATTTTCAGATATTTCTGTGAACTTTTTTGAGTGTGTGGCCAAATCAAGGGTTCTCAGGGAGCTGAAGGGTCATAGAATTTTCCACAGAATGTTCTTTGAGAAAAAATGTTGTCAAATCAAACTTTATGCTCACGTTCGTATTTATTATTATTCATAAAAAAATGTATTAAGAAGTATTAATAAGTTTGCATTTACATCTAGTGGGGGGTAATTTGCTGTTTATTTGAGAAAATTTGCCCCTGAACTGATTATTGAATGTACAAGTATGTATTATTATAATATTGTTAGATAAATATTCAAAAGTACAGTTTTCTTGGCTAAAACACTTGAAAAGAGCAAGGTGTGTCAGTAATATGAGTATTACTCTGCTTATGGTCTCATCGATGTCTAGTCCTTGTCACAAAAGTCAACAAATGAATAAACATTTGAAATTAAAACACAAGCACGTGTGGTGAATAGAGTTGGAGAAAATGCCTTTATTAGGCTATTATTATTGGATGTGCAGTGCTTGTGGAATGAATCTGGAAACTAGCACAACAGATGACTGTTGATATCTGAACAGGTGTTAAGTTTGCATAATTAACAAAACATTTATTCATCTCCATGCATTATGGTTAGTTGTTTAACCAGCAGATACTTGTGAGCTGTATTTGTTGTGTTAAACTGGATTTTTAGTAAAACAAAAAATCTCGAATATGAGGTTTGTAGTGTAAAATTTAGAGAGATGCAGTAGCTATGACTGATCGCATTTAAGACTGCATTACCAGTAAACTAGCATAATAAAATCATGTTTCTTGGCTCATCTAATTTTGTTTTTGATCTCTCCGCTCCTACAGAGACTACCACGGCAGATTGAGGAGCGAAATGAGAAAATGAAAGAAGAGATGCTTGGTAAGTTGTTTTTTTTCTTTGGTATCATATCTGTTGCCTGTCATAAGCTTCTTGTAAGGCTAAAAATATGCCATGAGGGCTGGACTTCAGCAGTGCTCACAAGCAGAGTGGCTCAACACAGAAGGCCAGTGAATTTTCTGATGAAAACAGAGGGGCTACTTTCATTGTTCTGTGGTTATTTTCCCTCTAATCTGTGAGCTCCTGAGTACACTAACAGGACAGAGTGAGATGTCCATATGTGCTGCTGTTCTTAGAAGAGAACACTGTGATTAGACTGTGGAGCAGAACATTTTGCTAAGGGACATAGGAAATCCAAGTCCCTGTACCCAGTTTCACCACACTACACTTTCTAAGCTATTATTCACAACAGTTAGTCATTGTCAAATGTGCTGTATCTAGGGGACTGGCATAAATTCCGGCAATTCTCACCGTTAGAATAATGTGTTTTGCTATATGCACCTACAGTTATGTACTTAATTATTTAATTAACACTATTCAACACATGTTGAAGTTTACTTATACAAGACTTTTAAGTGAGGCCATTAAATTTTATAATTCACATGTTTGGAATCACTACACATTTTTTTGGGAAAAGAAATATTTGTTTATCCCTCACCAAACAGTGTAATCCATCTGAATAGTGCTACTTCAGGAGAACTACAACAGAAATAATCAGCCAAGTCATTTTTAGAGATGTTACATTTGTGGTAGTTAAAAATAAAAAAGTGTTGTACCTTCTATTTAGCCATTACATTGTACTGCTTCTATAACACGAATGCTTTTAAAAACAGAAAGGAAAGGAGAAACCAAAAACAGCGGCCCTGTCGCTACTGCTGACCTTCAAACCTGTGTTACTCTGTAGTGGATAATTTAAGTGCTGTCTAGAGTAACTTGAAAAGAGCCATAATGTTTGAAAATGTTTGCAATTTCCATTAGGACCTTTCCTAATAAACACGTGCCAAACTGTTTTTCATGATATAAATCACTCGTTGAGCAGGCCAGGTGTGGAGTTTCACTGCATGAGGCAGAGTGGAGCTGAAAAGGCTGAGTGAAATTTACTGCATATCAGTGAGAGACCAGACAGGGGTGTGCCTTTTTAAACACTCCATATTGATCTCATTGCAGTCCCAGCCTTACAGCTGAGAGAAAGAGAGAGAGACTAAATGTGTTAGACAAAGGAGGATGTTAAGAACGTTATTTATAAACTCAGATGATTTATTTGCCATTTCCTGGGCTTATTGTCAGAAAATAATTATTTTAATTTTTTTTTTTCTTCTTCCAGGTAAACTTAAGGACTTGGGCAACATGTTTTTGCGTCCGTTCGGTCTCTCCACAGCCAACTTCCAGGTCAACCAGGATCAGAACACAGGATCCTACTCAATTAACTTTGTTCAGAATCCAAATAACAACAACAGATAGCGGCATTGAAATCCATTTACCAGACAGGCCATGAAACAGCTAAAAGACTAACAGGCTAGAATGTGAAGTGTTTCATCCTCCCATTTATTATCAGTGCACTGCAGCTCTGTGGGATAAGATTTACATTGTTGCCTGAGTTTTCATACTCATTTGTAAGGTGAATAGTGGGCTGGAAGTTTACTGCTTAGCTTGGACTCCTTCATCAAGCTGTTTTCATTGATTTTGACACATTAAATTATGAAAAAGACCCTTTTCAGATTGACTTTTGTTCATTACTTACTTTACAATTCACTGACAATATTATGTGTTGCGGTTTTATTGTAATAATCTCTTAGTATTAGAGCATTTGTAGAACCGTGTGACTCATTTCTTTTCAGAAGAATTGCGGCACATGAAGATAAGCAAGTTCTGTTGTTTCTTGTCCAAAGATGGAAGACTGAAAAAAAAACAAACTTGTTTTTCATTAAACAAAAAGCTATTTCAGATACTTTGTGGCACACACCTTGTCCATAAAGTACAGCACAAGCCCTCATGGCGCAAGCTGCAGCAGAAACATCCTCATTGATAACAGCATACAGATTTTAATACAAGGCAAAAAGCAGATGTTTATTGTTCATTTCATAAAGAGATATACATATACAGTAATAACAAAACATTTTTCCCACAACCACCATTCTTGTAAATTCAAGAGTTGTCCGATTGTACTGAAACGCATACGTACATCAGCCAGAGGGGGGTAAAAATAGGAAGTGTGGGGGGGTAAGCACAGTTGAGTGTATGTAGCACTCCCTTACTCACTCTCCTCTCCCTTTCTGCAATGCTCAGGTCAGCCTGCGTCATTAAAGACACCCCCTCGAGGTGCAGGAGGCTGCTAGGATAACACAGAGACCTCAAAGCAAAAAATCTGATATAGCAGAACTGAAGAGACTGACACTCTGGCTCACGCCATATGAAGATATGACAGGTAGGCATAGGCTGTTGTCTGAAACTGGGTCATTAGAAACATTAGAAACCAGCTGAAAAAACCTGGGCCAGAGAGGGGAAGGTACAGATATGTAGACCATCATTGGTCATGACACAGTAAGACTGATCCTTAAAAATATTGATGTGGATTTACAGCCTGTTTTCCACAAAGCCACCCTCAGCAAAATCCATCTCAGTGGAGTAAAAAAAAAGCATGCTTGTTTTGTTTTATAGTTTGTCCTTCGCTGATTTTCCTCAGACACAGAATTTTATCGATCAATTTGCAATGCCTTGTGAAAGAATGCAGCCCCTAATACTATTTTCGCATTTCATTGCCTCATATAGTAGGTTAAAAATATGAGTGTATTTTTTTATCTGCAAAACAGTATAAGCGCACCAAATTGAAAGGCAAGACTCCAAACATTTTAACAGTTTACTAAAACTTAAAACATTATGCAATTTAAGAAAGTATTCATACCCTTTGTAATTATTAGTCTCTGACCCTGTACAATATATTATCTTGCCACTCACTGTTTGTTCATTAGCACCTGTGTAGGAAACTGTTTTTAGTTTCTTAATGAAACTAAAAACATCTGTTTGTAAGGTGCAAAGTATAGTAGAACATGAATATGCTAGGACCTACTCATGGAAAAGGACACAAGACTATATTTTGGAGTTCAGTTCAGTCCATCATAAAGAAATTAGAAATATGAAACCACAGCCAGACTGCCACTCTGAACTTGGTCACCCGACAAGAAGGACAGTGGCTGCTGTGATGTAAAGGTAATGTTCACAGCTCAACAAAGGGCCTTTATGGAAGAGTGGCAAGAAAGAAGTCCTTGCTGCAAAGAAAAACATATCCTTGCTCATGAAAATCCTTGGTTGAGGCAATTGTTTATGTGAAAAATAATCAAGGGTTGAATGCTTTTTCAAGGCACTGTATGAGCTAGTAATTTTAAACGGGTCACTGCCTTTTGTTAGCTTGTAGTTTTTCAATACTTGAAAATATGCATAGAGAAATGTAATACTTTTGTTTTTAAAGTAATTCTGCAGAAAGTAGGTTTTCATTCTTCTACATAAATAGGACATTTCCCTATTCATTCTACCTAAAAAGGAACAGTCTAGACAATATGGGGCTTCAGACGGCTCCCTCTTGTAAGGCTCAGAATTTCTCTCTCAATACAAAAGGAGCACAAATAAGGTTCTGCAGAAACACTGGTGATATTATTCATGACTTCAGCACAGTAATACCCAGTGCTCTGTTGTAACGGTACTGTGAAGCATAGCTCATGCAATATTTATTGCATTTAACATAGAACACTTTTCAATCATTTCTAAATTATTTCTTCATTCTTATTTTCATGAACGTTCTTTTCAGACAGACATAAACAGACTTAAAAACCTTGCAATACCCTGTGCCTTGACATCACATATATTCAATTCAATAATAGTCAAAACTCTGTGCTATCCAGTATTGCAAATGTCCTTCCTCAAACATGCTGGGAACATGAATGCTCAAAAAAAAAAAAAATCCTGCTTTTGAAGAATGATCAGCATGATTGATTGGGCAAAGAGGTGCATGGAGTCCTCGATTCATTATTATAAATATATAATTATTCTTAAATAAAAATATTTTCTCCATTACACCTGTCTTTCCCTCTGTGAATGGCTCCTCCCATCTTACTGGCTCTTGACCAATGGCAGTATCCTGGGGCAACAGACCAATCAGCATCCCTTCAGTGTTGCAGCACTGAAAGAGAGCAAACAGAATGGCAAGTCAGAGCTTTATATCAAAGACAGGAACAGTGTGTATGACAATATCACTAGAAGAGCGACACTGCAAGTGTAGCAAGCAAAGTAACTGTATAATCAGAGCATATAATTTTGCGGAATACGTACAATTTATGAAGTAACCCCTTAAACCATGGACATACAAATGGTCTACCCAAAATGTTCAGTCAAACCTAACAATTATATAGATTTAACTAAAAAGGTTGCTTTTAATATGCCTGTTTAGGCTCAATGACCTAATACTATCACAACTCATAGTTAAGGTTAAACAAAAGGGAGACTTGTCACCAATGTTCTTTGTATTGCGTACCATGAAGAACTGCTGCACCTAAAAATAACCCTGTTTCTCAAGTGAACATCTGTTTTGCTGGTTTTCCAAAGATTATTACCTCAGGTCAAAAGCATGACTGAAAGACAGCATGATTGCAGACATCCAGACTTACATCCATACTGATCAAAGAAAAATAATTTAGATAACGTGAATTCATTCTTGTGTTTAAAATGAAGGCTACCAGAGTGCCGTCATGTAAGTACCAGAAGGGAACCTGAGTTTGAAAAATGTGAGAATACAGCAGAGGTGGGTATATATTAGACCTACACCTGCCACGGTCCTCTGCAGTTCCTCCTTTTATGATTTATCTTAGTGAATCAGAACAGCAGCACAGCAAAGCTGGAACTGATTATGGTATATACTAACAAGCTACAGTTGTAAACTATAGCAATATCAAATCTTGTAAACTGCAAACCAAAGACAAAGGCATAAGGCCTCTGGACATAGATACATGTCAATGCAGGCTTACTCCACTGAAATGTCTAACAACTGATTTTATTTCTTTGCTTATGATTACAATCAATCTTTTGGTAACGTGGATAAAATGAATCAGTACACTGTTTTCAACATCCGAGCATAATTGGGTTCAGTCTGTGCTAACCTTTACTTATCTGTTTGCAGGTAAGAAAATAAGCACATTTTCTTTGTGTCTAATTTAGCTTTGTGCTACCACATACGCCATACAAAAGCAAAAGCCATATTACTGTGTAGTTTTGTTCATGGTTAAACTGATCCAATTCCAACATTTTTAGCCAAGCTCTGGAACAACAGTGCGAGATTAAAAAGACAGCTTTCACTCAACAATTCACAGCACTGGCTAAGTCTACGCTAATAATTTGAATCCACAAACTTCGTAAGCTGTAACAGGGGGAGATACGAAAATAATGACAACTAGGTAAAAATTCTTGAAGTTCACATTTTATTTATATACTCTTAAAACATCAGAAAACATGTACACAATATCTTCAACTGTAACTTTTTTTCAATGGTTTTACAGCATTCTCTGACCTGCAAACAGATAGAAATAATAAAAGTAAAAATAAAGAGATTGAAATAAAACAAAGCCAACCACCAAAATAAATAGCATTTTTGCTCTGCTTTTGACATATCAGTCAGTCAGTGTGGTCTACCAAGCAAAGTGTTTTTTTTCCCCTCTTTCAAGCCACTGATCTCTGCCAATTTGATTGCCATACTTGGAAAGACCAGGTTACCTTACAGTAAATCCCTTCTCAGGTGAGCAGATACAGTTCAGAATGCTAATTTGTATGCAGTTCAAGGACAAATGATTACAGATCAGAGAGATTACACATTTTCTTTTGACATAACGCTCACTTGAGCCACACAAACTTAAAACCTTTTGTTCTCAGTCATGAAATAAGATTTAAGCCATTTCCCATCAAATGAATCTGGTAAAATACATTTTGAATACTGTATATACAAATGTGTATTTCCAGATGTTCAGCCCTATGATCCAAGAAGTGAAATGACAAAAAAATAAAGTTCAGGCACAACAAATAAATTTAAAACACATTCCTCATCTTGAAATGCAGCTGAGTGACAATGAACACTAAAAATTAGAGAAACCATTGAACTACTAAGCCAACAAGAAGTTCTAACCCATAACTGTAGTCGAACATATGTACTTATCGGAACTGCTGTCTTGTGCTTCAGCAGGACAGTATGGGCAGTCTTCTGTCTTATTGGTAAAATGCAACTCATTGTGATAACGGATATTTGATGCTCTATTGCAACAAAGTGTATTCATTTCATAGCAAAAGATATGAATGGCTTGGATAAACAAACAATGGCCTCAAATAAATGCTTGTGATCCCATTGGTTTGAAACAAACATGAGCTTCTACATCTACACAAGAACAAAGGGATGTAAGCCAAGCATGGAAATATTTAAGCTAAAACCAGACATACATGTAACAGTAAGAAGACACAAACAGAAACAGAGGGTAGGAAAGGAAGAGTGGGAAGACGGCTAAACAAAGCAGAGGAGAGAAGAGGCAAGCTGTGCAGTGGGTAGGTGGCTAAAGGAGGAGTGAGGGGAACAGATGTTGTAGCTGTGAGGGGTGGGAATCGGGGGGCTCACGTCAGCTGGTAGGGTCTGTCTACGCTTCTCTCGACTAAGAAATGAACAGCGCCTCTGCTCACTCCTCTGACTGGCACCACTGGCACTTGAGGTGACTTTGGCTTACAGACAGCTCAGTCATAACCCCAGCTAACTGCCTGCAAAGTCATGGCTGGCTGAGAGCCACACCCAGATCACAACTCCTCTGCTCAGAACACAGGACCAAGATCCAGCATCTGATTATATTTCAGGAGGAGCAGCACCAATCAAGTCTCTTCATCTACCTGAGTAAGAGACTGTGTACCCACCAGGGTCCTTTTTCACATTTTTCTTCCTTCTATACGCACATCCTTCTCATGCACACCAAGATGGACTGAGTGTCTTTCTGGAGTTAACAGGACCTAGTCAAGCTGAGTAGTTCACTATCAAATGTAGTTGCTATCAAAAAGACCCCTTTGTGCACTCTCTATAAATCCACAAGGAAGTGGAAACCTGGCCCAATATTCACATTTTCCTAAAAAAAATATGTTTCACTTATTTAATAGTTAAATATGCCTTAATAAGCCATGTATAACTTTTAAAGGAAATTCTGATTAGATGAATATTCTTTAAAAGAATACTAAAACAATCTAACCTCCATGACAAAGTCTTTATATTAGGATATTTATTTAAGAAAACGAGTGATTTTGGAAGAAAGAGGCTTATCTATCCTGGAATCATGTAAAAATACAGAAATATACTGATGTGACAATATCAAGTGATTGATTAGACGTGGCATGTGGGCTCAAAGGAAAATCAAATCATACACGAGAAAACTTCAACTTAACATGACTTATGACAACGAATTCATTTCATTATTACTTTTCAGCATAATTCATTTCCAACAATAATCACCTTCCCCACCCCCTAATTTCTGCCTGTTCCACGAAAATAAATAAGAGTCCGGGTTGTCTGGCCTGACACTTTCTGGGCTTTTCTATGTGAGGTGGCTGGGTACAGTAAGGGGGCGAAGAGTTTTTTGGGAAGGGCTACAGGGCGAAAGCGGGTGCCTGCTTTGCCTACCTTTCAAAGGCACACAGCCTCACGTCTCAAACTGAGTTAGCAAGGCGCGAACCTCAGGAGTGAGCTGTTTGGCTGCCTTGGCGGCTTCTGTGATGGCTTTACGGTACAGACCCTTTCTCTTCTTGTCGAAGCGAGACTGGAAGTTTTCTAGAAAGGGGGCAAGCTGAGTAATTGCCAGGAAGGAAGTGGTAGGCGACCCAAACCAGGAGACGCGGGCCTCCTGTCTGACTAACAGCCCATTATCTTTGCGGCTCACTGTGATGGCTAGGATGCGGGCGGGCCACCAAGGGAAGCCGAGGATTTTGGCCCACACAATGTCCCCTACGCAAATGGTCCTGCCATCCAGGGCAACGCACTTTGAGACATTTTTGGAAAAAACAGTGGCTTTGAGGGATTTACTGCGCTTTTTTTCATCCTTGGGAGCAGTGGGAGAGGTGGAGGCAAAAGTGGAAGATGTGCCGGGGGCAGGGGCCGAGCGGAAATCGCCGGGAGGGGGAAAGTCAAGGGTTTCAGTTGAGCTACACTCAGAGTTTGATGACTTTAAATCATCTGCACTATCAATGCTGCACATCGAGGTACTAGAGGAGTCAGGCTGGCTGGGATTAAGGGTCATGTAGACCACCAGGTTGCCCGCCTTGCTCCCGCGCGTCTCCCGCCCCTCCTGTTCCTCTGGCTCGGGCTGGGGGTCCCTGTGCTCCGGAGGTGGGTGGGGGTGTGGTTGGGGTTTAGGTTGGGCCTGCTGGCTCAACGGGGGCTCGAGCGCCCTGTCGGGCCCCAGAGGCTCTGCAGCAGCGGCGGCCTGGCCTGCGGAGCAGGAGGAGGAGGAGGAGCGGGTGGAGGTGCAGCGAGCTGCAGCTAGCTTAGGCAGCGCTAAACGTCCCCCTCCCGGCACTTTCTCCAAGCAAGGCGGCCTACATGAGGAAGAATCGTTTTCTTCGTTACGGTACCTTTGGGGCTTGATGCGCATCCTGGGTGGCAGCGGGTTCGCCATGCCCGGTCCTCCTCCACTGATCTGTTGCAGTCGTCTGGTGAAGTGGACCTTCTGGTGGGATTCCTGGAGAGCAGCAGCCCTCGTCATGGCCTTGGTGTTACTGCTGCTGCTGCTGCTGCTGGTGACTGTCTCTCTCTGCCTCCTCTGAGCTTTGGCCAGCTTTAGCACTTCTCGTGCTTTAGAGTGGTCAACATTTTTGCTCTGAAGCACTTTCTTGGCATTGAGCTGCACTCGGGAGCTGCTGTTGGCGGAGGATGGTGCTGCAGTGGAAACCCCTTTCACCACACGGTTCCCTGCAGCTGTCCCCTTAACCTGGCCCAGAGCAGAAGAAGCAGAGGAGGAAGTGACCCGTATGGTTGCAGCCTGCCGCTTGGGTCCGTCAGCAGCGCGGCTTCTGTCCTCAGTACGAGGCCGCTTCCCAGCAGCCGCAGCTGCGCTGTCGTTTCGCCGTCGCTTTGCATCATCGCTCCGGCAGTCTGAAATGGGGCCTCTACGTGTCTCACGCTTGTCCCCTTGTACTACAGCCCCTTTGCATTTATCACACAGCACTTGCCTCGGTCGGAGCTTGATGGCATTCATAATAGAAGTAGGCTCCTCTCGGTATAGCCTGCGTTTCGGCCGTTTGATCTTGCGGGGTGGAGGCTGAGGTAACGACTGGTTGTAGGTGTCCCTGATGAATATTGGAGGCGGGTAAGGTGCCCCCTCCTGAAACAAAGGGGGTGGTTTTGAGGTCCATGGGTTGGGCTGAGGGTTAGGGCTGGCTTGTGGAACTGAAGGGGTTTGGGCAGGTTCCTTGGGAGGGGCATCAGGAGATCCTTGAGTGACGCCCTTCTCAGTCTCTGACTGGAATGGCTCCGTCTTTAACTGCATAGATTCTGGTTTGTCCTTGTACTCTCTCTTTGGGAATACAGTTATTGGAATTCCATAGGGTCCAAACCTGGGAGAGAAAACAAAAAAACAACATTTTACCAAAACAGAAGCAAAAACAGACACTGTTGAATTTTCTTCACCCTTATTCATGTTCTAAACATCAGAGTTACTGTTAAAGATTTGATTTTGTTGAATTGTTTACATTTTAAAATATCTGCATAACTTTGTTTAAGACTGCACAATCATCAGTGTATCTCTCACTCCCTTAAAAGACAGGACAACACTTGTGGAAATCAAAGAGACTGACACAGACTGTCAAAGCACTAAACTACCAAGGGTGACCACATCATTCATTTCTATTCATATCCCTATGAATAGATCTGGATCTGGAAAAAGACTGCTGGAATTGTTCTGACTTTCCATTTCTCTGCTTGCCCTCAGAATGACAAGGTGGGTCAGATAGTTTTAAACTTACCTAATATTAACCCAGCAGCAGTAATATTTTCACATCTATATCTTCTGATGGCATTAAAATGGTCCATCACTTATTTGTCATGAACATTATGTCCACTCTGCAAAACATCCCAAGTTTAAACATTAGTGATGTACTGACTGCAACTTACTGCTTCTGGTTCTACAAACCTGAATAAGCCTAAATCATTTTGGAGATTTGGGCTACATGGGAACAGTGTGTCTGAAAGAGAGAGGAAATAAGCAACTAAAGCTGAACTCATTTCACCTAAGAAATAGCTGCAGTGTGAGACCTTGATTCGTTAAGCATCAAAGGCCCATGAATTATACATAACAGGTTAGGTTCAATGATTTAGTGGCAGGAATCAGAAGACCCAGTTCTCTTTAAAGAGGTGATGAGATCTAACAAACCTACCAGAGACCAAGTTAAGGCTAGAAATGATTGCGCATAGAAAATGCAAATGAAGACTGCCTTAGAGCTCCTCGAGGCTAAAAATAAACTGGACAATATGGTTGGTAAGTCACTTCAAAGCCATGACACTGAATGGTTTGAGCTGCTTGGGTTCAGCAAATGATATGCAGTATAACAGTCCAAACTGGGAGTAAGGTGACTAAAAATGACTAAGCTGTACGCTTCAGATTTTAGCTACACTAAACCACGTATGTAAGTGATGCCTATTGATTTATCCATTACACATCCATCTTTGTAAATACACCAAAATAGTCCAGTTAACATTGATTAAAGAAACAAAGACAGAATAAGAGTGAAGAGAGACATTCAGTTGTAACTTAGGTGTCTTGATGAATAACACTCTTGCTCACAAATATAGCAGGCCCCAGTAACACAATCTCTGTTAGCAATCTGATTATGAGGTGATCAAAAACAAGAGTTAAGTTTAACTAAAAAAATTATGCCAATTAAGTATCAAGTGGAAAAACAGCATGACATAAGTACTTCACCTATGTATTGCTGCATCTGTGCTGACCACATGGGCAGCCATATGGCTTACCACATCAGAACTGACAGAAACCTACATTTGTACAGATGACTACAAAAAAAGCTGGTGCTTTCTCCAGCAAGCAGACCACCATAACACTTCACTGTGTCAAGTATTCTAACCTTTCTAATGATGTGCTATTTGTGGGAATAAAAGAGTACTAGTCATAACTGGCATTTCGTTTCTGTAAGCAGTCTGTAACTGCTGTTCAAAATACAAGCTTTTTTTTTATGAGTGAGTCAACGTACTTTGCTGTCTGGTCAGTGCATGCATGGTGTTTGTAACCACTTTTACTAATCTGACAAGGATGCAGTCCAGCCATGACATCTGAAACCGAAAAACAAGGAGAAACTACAGTGATACAAATTCAATGCAGTTGTGTCACAGAGAGGCAGTCAGAATCTACTAAATTTAAGTTTCTTAGTTTCAGCAGAAAGAAGGGTAGCGCACTAGAACAGGCTGCAAGAGCCGTAGGCTATTGACAGCAGACTATAGCGCAATACTTTATCTAAGGGTTATAAGTGGTTAAATAGATTTAGAATTAAGATACAAGCTAAACTATTTATGGTTGAGGCTCCAGTGAATGTTGTGACCCAGGAACTAGATCTCATTCATATACCAAGGTCCAGCACTGTCACATACAGCTACCCATAAGCCGACACTGTACATACATGTTCGTTGACATTGCTGCCATCTTGGATTTGTCCAACATTCCACAAGGCTTCAGAAAATAGGTTGATGTTGCAAAAGTCAAGATGGCTGCAGTGTCTGCTGATGCCATATTGAATAAACTTAAATGCATAATTTGGGATATGATTTTCTAAAATCAAGCAGACCACACAAACATTAAAGGACTCCAGCCACCCAACCATGCCTTTATTTGGCAAGTTAATGAAGAACACAGTCATGACTGTGCACATAACCTATGGGTGGGTGCATGAATTAGAAGGTCGGATATGTATGAATGCTGAGCTAGACTGCATCAAAGTATTAGGGCTAGTTTAAAGACCACAGCAGTCTCTACTAGCCTCTCTCAGAGTTTGGCAAGCTTTGTGTCAGACAGGTTTGACAAACAGTCACTATGAAGTGACATAACACTGATGAGATGCAACTAGAAGTCTGTTTAATTTTCTGAAACAACACTGCTACAGTGGTCTATGATGAAATGTAGGGGCTCATTTCCTACAGAAACAGAAAGTCAATTTATTTCAGAGGTCCTACACCAGTATTTGGGAGATATTAATCAGGTATTATAAAAAACGCCTCACTGACTTATACAGTGGGGAAATTAACAACATTAGCGTCATTATCTATTATGCAAAATGAACATGATCATTGCATATGGGGCACTGAGGCAAATGCTTAGCTTTGATCCCTAACGTTGACTCGAAGTGAAGAGATTTGTGAGGAGGGGTGTTGAATAAAGTGAGAAAGTGTTGGAACAAATCTTAGAGGAACAAGAGGCTGGGCGTTAATAAGCCAACAGAAACGAGCCATGTACAAGCACTTCCTAAACACTAATTTAGTGGGAGAGCCCAGTGGGTCTAGCACGGGGTGTCCTCACTGCAGCACTGAACTGCACAAATAATATGAACGCTTGGTGTGACAGTGGCATGAAGAGGGGCTTCAGACACCTACAAAAAGGTAAACGAAGATCCTGACAATGAAACTAAGGACTGAGAAGTGGGAAGAAAACAGTCGGGTTTCAATCCCTTGCTGTAAGCAGGGCAGGTGTTTACCTTTTCGAAAGGTCCATGAGCACCCCGGAGAAGATTTTCTCTCCTAAACGAAAGGACACAACAAGTGCATCGTCGATGATGTGATCCAGTGAGACTCGGACCTCCGAGCCGGGGACGAGACCCATAATGCTCTCAGACTGTCTCTCCACGCTTTCTGCGCGAGGCACCTGAGGTTTGAGCTCGGGCTCGTTCAGGTCCGTTTTCAAACTCAAAACAGGATGCGCGCGCACATCCTCAGATTCTGATGAGATGAGGGACTGCTCCGCCGCCGCCGCTTCTGCTGCTAATGGAAGTTCGGCGGAGTCCTTCATGGAGCCGTCAGAAAAGTCACTAACGCAACTCTGCCCGACCGAGTCCCCGAGCGAGGTCTCCTCTAGAGTGGACAGAGATTCGGGATGGTCTGGAGGCTGAGGGAGTTCGTGGAAAGCGTCCTCAGGAGGCTTAAACTCGGAGCCGGGAGCGTCGTTGGCGGCTTCGGGCTCCACGTTTGCCTCCCGAGAGGGCTGTATGAACCCTATGGAGTCAGTAGGATGAGTTGACTGCGGATTACTGTAGTATTCGGCTGCCGATTCGGCAGCCTCGGCCAGAGACAGCCCCGTCTCCGATTCAACAGGGTGATTAGCGGGCAGAGAATGCAAGAAGACCACGGACGGCTGAGAGTCGGAGATGGAGCTGGGCAGAAGGCAGGCGCTGGGTTCTCGAGCACTGACCTCGTTAGCAGCCTCCACGCTGGGCGAGAACGGCTCTTTTAGTCGCTCCCCCACCACGGCAATGTCTTTATACCCATAGTCCGTGAGAACGTGCTCCTCGGGCTCGTTCACGCGGCTCCACGCGCCGCCCGTCTCGGCGTGTCCATCCTCTGCACGGACAGCCAGGGCTTTTCCCGCGGCTTGGAGGTCCGGCCTTCTCATTTCCATTTGGACCTGGCTGCATTCCTGAACCGCATCCACATCCTCGGCCGGGTGACAGAGGTCCATCTCGGGGACGAAGTCCTGCGTTGAGTGGGTGTCGAGGTCGGCCACATGCTCGGCTAGCTCCGGCTCGTACTCGACCCCGTCCCCCGCTGTTGTTGATGCCGCCGCAGCAGCAGCTCCTGGCTCTGCAGCCACGGCCGCCATTTTCTTTCCGCTTTGCAACTACTACTTGGCCCTCTCCTACTGATAAGATGTGGACCCGCCCACTAAGAAACTACGAGCACTCGCGATTGGTCGAGCCGACGCAGAGGCGTCGTTGATTGGCTCACATCCGTGCCATTCAAAGAGACCCTCTGGAAACACAACCGTGATTGGTCTCTGTTTTGTCAATATGGTTTTCCTTAGGAAAAATACGTGTTTGGCGCCACAAGGGGCAATGTTGAGTTGGCCGGGTGTGATGGGGCCTTTCGGGGTGCACACATCGGTATGGATAGGAACAAGGACAGAAAATGACAGCTTTACTTTGGCTTGGCGTATTGAGTTAAATTAAAACAAAATAAGAATTTTCACGCAGATCATACACACCAAAACACCGACCATTATTTATTAAACGAATAAATAAAATGTAGGAGCACTCTGTCTCCCAAGATCATATATTTTTTGCCATTACTTTAAAATTGTCCACATACTGACTTTGGGCTGATGAGCTGAATAGAATCATGGGCCCACCATGAGCATACTAGCATCTAAGGTTTTCATATAGCCTCAGCCTTCACTGTAAAAAATGACTTGTCAGTTCAACCTGAACAATTACTTCACCTCTTAACAAGGCTTTTTAAACAGGCTTTATTTCACTGATATAGATACCTTTAATGAAACAATGCAATGCAAACTTTTAGTTTTGATTATCAAACTCCACTGCAGGATGCACTGTCAGAAATGTTCATTTTCTTTCTGTTTTGATATTACTCTGTATTGTTTAAATGTAGGATTGTGTATTATTTATAAAGGGTAGTCAAAATAAGCTATAGCTTCAGACTATACCTTTTCAGTCAGTACTTGTTTTTGTAAGGATTATTATGTCCATTAATTTTATATCTATAATTTTTACTTTTATTTTTGTGTTATCTATTATTATATTTTTTTCTCTCTTTTATTTTTTGGGTGTAAACACCTTGATAAACCAAAATAAACTTAATTATAATAGAAAAGATGTACTGTCCAGGTCAACGACATTTTCCTATACAGTTCAACTGTGTACCTTAAATGAGATTTAAAGGTACTACATTCATTTTGCCAAAGGGCCACATTTGTAACTTTTCATAACTAAACTTTTTTTCTGAAATAGAGCATAAAAAATATAATAGCCTACAATATGAAAGTGATGATCAACTCGGCTTCTCTAAAAATGTGAGAAATGTGTTTCCTGGACTTCCAACAGAGTACAGTACTTTCATAGCTTTGTAGAACTATGTTTATTTCACTAAATGTATGAAAGTGTTCACCATGACAAGCTACAAAAACCAACCAGTGAAATTTATGTAAATGATTCGTCACCACAGCCAAGTTTCGTCACAATTAATGTCAAACCTGGAGAGACGCTGTGAATGACAGTATTGTAAAAGTTTATGTTTCACTACGGTTTACATTTATCAAACTGATCTACACTTGGGAACTGTTGCTGAAGGACACTAGTTAAACAGTCATTTAGTCATCATGCTATATAATGCTATTTTAACGATTTGTACTCTTTCATCTGCACTGGCACAGCTTGAAGACCCGTGAAGTTCACACAAGGGCCAAGGAGTCAATGACTTGCTGGCCACATAGGAAATGCCATTTAACTATTTCCTCAGTGATATTAAAATACATTAAATTAAAATTCAAAAAATGAAAACTTAAAAGCAGCACAATTACTAGGCTAGTTAAGAGAAATGTACAGAAAATATGGAACACCCAATACTCCTTTTATTTCATTTATTTGTTATTTAATATTTATTTGCATTCTATGTAATAAATTGTATACATGTAAACACTTAAGCTTCATGTCCACTTTTTCTGGTTCTTATTTCAGCTTTTTTCATGCCATACAAATTAGCAGATGCATCAAAGTGCTGTCCTGTGATAGTCCTGAACTTTCTACTGATGATATCTCTTGATCAATGGCCTTTCATTGTTAAAAAAAAAACCCTGACTAATGTCACGCCATAGCCCGTTACTTAACCTCCATTCTATCTGAGAGTGAATGTGGGCATTCAAAGGCCAGCTTTTGGAGCCAGCTCAACAGAACCGAGGGAACCCTGCCTTTACAGTGTTGTATTTATCTCTCTAGCTCATCATTTTGTGTCAGGCTTAAGGCTGCACTGTTATTTGCAAAGCTAAGGTATTTCCATACATCTCAGAGGCTTCAGAAGAAAGGGAATAGTGTTGCTGTAAAAAACAACACCACCACATATATCTCCATTTGTTTTCTACATAATTTGAGCACAGCAGCTGCTCTTTATATGGTGTGAAAAATTATGATAAATTCACCAATACAAATGCTCCAAAATTGCTAGGATAAAAATGTAATTACAATAACTTGCATTAAAAATACAGAAAGTTTTTGCCTTCTGTAAAGTTATCATTTTGGAGAAGCGTGGGTTTTTTTTGCATAGCCACATGTAAGAGATGATTTGACTTCTGCAGGGGGAGGATATGGGGCAATGAAAGTTGTAATCCTTGAGAGGCAGGCAAGATGTTTTATGTGTTGAAGGGCATTGACCTGTGGCACATTTTTCTCTCTCAGCAAACTCTTAAGACATTGTTTCAGGCCTACTGTTCTGAAAAAGACTTAAGAAAAGTTTGCAATTGTCCATTGCAGTCATAATACAAAAGGTCTTATACAAAAGGCAGAGGTGGTAAGCAAGCCAAATAAGAAACAGAAGGATAGATAGACATTAATCCCAAAAGCAATAGCAGAGTTGCAGCAGGAAAAAACATACTGTCACTGAGAAAACTTGATACCAATGATACCATTTTCCCCCTTTATGATGTGTGACGTTTCTAAATAAATAGAACAATAGAACTTGTTCAAAATGACTTAACTCACATTAAATTAAATATTTCTGTCTTCAGTCAAAAAAATCAGTTTGCATAATTTCCATAGAGCAGCACTGCCAATAAAATGGAGCTGCTGCACATGAGTTTAACATCACCATGGCCAATGGAGTGAAACTGCATTCTCTGGAGTGATGGAGCTCCATCCAGTACCTTTGGAATGAGTTGAAGTGGCATTTGTGATTCAAAACTAATTAAACCACATCCGTACCTGACCTTACAATGTTCCAACATCTAGTGTGAAGCCTTTTCAAAAGAGTAGAAGCTGTTATTGCAGCAAAGAGGGGGACAACTTACCTATTAATACTCTTGATTTCAGAAAAAAAAATACTGGATGAGCAGGTGTCCACAAACATTTGGGCATGTAATCAGGGTGGGGATGAAATGGAAATCATATAATACAGTTACCTTTTACATTTTTAGGCAAATACTTTTAGAGTACTTATGCACTACATTAAATATATATATATATATATATATATATATATATATATATATATATATATATATATATACCATTTTAAAAGAAACACCATCAATTTTAAAATCAGCATATGGCATGTAAAGACGTACTCTAAAGAACTAAAAAAAATGGCTTCTTTACAAACAACGTAGCCCCACCTAAAGCCTGAGTAGACTGATAAACTAATGTGATGACCAGTTATTAATCTCAGTGTTACTGTAGCTCTGTTAAAGCCTGAGTAGACTGATAAACCAATGTGATGATCAGTTATGAATCTCAGTGTTACTGAACACTGCTAAAGTCTGAATAGACTGATAAATCAATGTGATGACCAGTTATTAATCTCAGTGTTACTGTAGCTCTGCTAAAGCCAGAGTAGACTGATAAATCAATGATCAGTTATGAATCTCAGTGTTACTGAATACTGCTAGACTGATAAACCAATGTGATGAATCAATTTTTTTTTTTTGAGGGAGCTGAACAGTCTCCTTAGCATGGACATGTTCATAAGTGATAAGCTTAGCATTGGTGCTGTACTTGACTAGTGTGTGTGTTTCTTGGCAAGTTACATACATTATATTATCTGAAAATCATATCTACCCACCTTAAATTGCGACATGGTGAATTGTTTGCTTAGTTAATGAAATGGCAGTGGGTTTATGATAGCAGCACTGGGCTGAAGCAGGCAGTGAGAGCTAAAATTATGATGAGAATATAGAAACCTCATTTAAATCAGCGAATTTTTCATTAAATGTTTTAACAGAAAAATATGTGATGAAAACTGCCAACCAGTAACCATGTGGAACAACGTGAATTAAGTAATGACAACAGCAGTTTTTTTTCCATGTGTCTTGACTATGTATTGTGAATGTATTCTAAATGTGTTCTGAATATGTTGCATTTTTATATATTGTAATAAAATATGTTACTGAATACATTTAGGACAGTGTATTTAGTATTCAGTAATCATTACTTTTTCAAAGTATTCTGCCCAACTCTGCATATAATATATAGTAGGAGAAGCTATAACAGTTTACAGATTTTCTGGAACACATTATGGGTTTACAAATAGTGCTTGAATGCAGATGAACGTTTTATAACTGATGTTTTATAAAGATGTGATTCATGAATATTATGCACTGTTCCTGTTGAGACGATGGCAGAATAACACTATGTCCTAAGATAATTGCAGACCGCTATGAAGGGCTCGTGAAGGGTTTTATAGTTAGCTGATGTGTTGACCTCGTCATTCAGCCTTATTTTAATGTGCACACTGATTATACACGTACAACTTAATTGCATGTGGAAATAGTTTGGCTCGTTTTCGTCTGCGATGGTCCAACTAATGGAGCACTGACCTGTCTCATCATATTAAGCATATTAATCAGTAGTAATTTGTTTACTCGCTTGCCTGCATATGAAATTTTGTAAGTAATGGGTGTTTTTTTATGATATACTGAAATACACTGCCCATCATCAACATTACTCAATGTATTCTGTCCCCCTGTGTAAAGAGCTCACTGCCTGCTCACAAGCAAGGTCAATGCACTTGCTTTTCTGTGCTGCCAAGTTGCAAAGCCTCATCACATCTACCACTGCAGTCTGTCTGTTCAGCTACTGTTCAGTACTAACATGGTTATAT